CTTCCCTTTACCACGCAGACACTAATTGTAAGGCTGAGCATGATTAATGTTTATTGGTCATCTTCTAACATCGCCACCTTAGATTAGAATAAGATAATCGGGACATTTCGCAACTAAAATTGGAATTTTAAAACCTCCACATCAAGTATCATTCAAAGGCTAAATATTCACAAACTAATTAATAAATTAGCTTTATATTTATTTTCAAAACTATGATGATACGATGTAATGATAGAATTTCCTTCGACTTCAAATGATAAGTAAAATATTTGTAACAGTCTCTCACGACCATTTACACCAGGCTTCCCAATCTTTTTTCCGCAGATGTGAAGTGAGCAGATATGATGTAAGTGCCCTTCTCAGCAATATAGTTTGTATATTTACACAGGCACAGAAATATATTTATTATGGGGAGCTCAGTACCAAAACATAGTAGAATGAGATTCTGACTTCGTTCCATTGTCTTATGAATTTTACGTGCAAGGTGAGTTGATAAAAACGTACACTTACATTTGCTCCGAAGGATACGGGATACAGGTGCTCATTATATTCAGTGATGTGCTTCTTGACAGTTTTTATTTATTTTTTTATTTTAAAAGAATTGAACTAACTTCGGTTATTTCACTCAACACTCACCCAGCTGGATATTCGGAGTAACAGGAAAGTTTACCAGCTTGTTCAGCATCTTTCAAAGCCCAACACACAAATTGTTAAGTGCTGTGAAGCATTGCAAGAAGTGTTTTGCGACAATTAGTATTCAAACCTTTCATGACCTTACTACCTGTCGAAGCACGGAAATGGCCGCGCCAGCGCTATCAGCCTATCGTTCGGCAGAGTATCAATTGGCAAAGGTGCAAGTTGGGTGACGAAAGCGGGTATTTACGGGGCAGGTTCAGACACACAAGAAGGTCGAACGTATCCAAATTGCGTATTGAAAATTCTATTATTGCAAAGATAAGGGGTCCCTTAAACTATTGCCTCGATAAGCGATAAATAAAAAATAAGCAAATATAAAATACAAAAATTAATACATTTCGCTTTTTGATTAAAAACAAAATTTTCACAACAAAGGGGTCTAATAAAAAATTGCATAACATATAATGTAACACAGAATGCCATCAAATGCACCGTGTATAAGTTTCTTTTTCGGTTTCTTTAATAATAGCCTTCGTTTACAATATTCTTACAACCGACTTCGGTAAATTTCTTTCGAAAGCGAATCCCTCTGCACATCAAACTAAAAAGATGCCAACGAGTATGTCATTTACCATCGGTCGTGAATGGAGCGCGCTAGAAATCTGACGCCGGTTGATAAACTTCGCATAAGGCTGCTGACGCAACCGTTTGCCGGCTGCGGGAAGCGCAGAGGTCACGAGAGGTCTTGATGCAAAACGCCTCTAAAACTCCATTTCTAACACTCCATTGCACGTCAAAATTTGGAAGTAAGAGTTTTGAATGGTGTTGTACCAGCTGGTAAAACTTCGTGAGAATCCGAGTATCCAGGACGGTGAGGACTGGATGTTAGATTGAACCCAATTTTTTATTCGAATCGATAGGACTCGAGAAGAGAAAATCGTCAATATTACCCTACTGCCTGAATTTGCTAACAATACCATAGATTAGTTATTTTTGGCGTGAAAACAGGTGCTCGAAGTTCGCGGCACGGCGCTTGTCCAGCCGCCAGACGCGGGCAAGCTCAGCGACCTCGGTGAACACTTCGGTCGACTTTCTCGTCCTCGGAAAAACTCGTAAAGCCCTTCGGTGTCCAATTTCAAGAACTCGAGAATCGGGTTTCGTCCAAAATAATCAATATTTGGTTGCAAGGAAACCACCGTTATATTCTCCCTAATAATATTGTTCCTCTGATGGATTCCAACACTATCTTATTGTTTTAATGGGACATATTTTGTGACTTGTGGCAGCGGAAGTCTTTCGAAATAAACAATACAGTAAATGTAATGTCGTTGCTTCCTTGAAATCGGCGTTAATAGCACGTTGTGCTTCATTGTCGACTACGATTTCATTATTATTATTATTATTATTATTATTATTATTATTATTATTATTATTATTATTACTATTTTCAAATGAGTCAATTTCTTCAGCAACAAAGATTTTGATGCCAACTTTCGTTTAATGGAAGTACTCACTTTTCACCCATGTGTAACATCTAAATTTGTTTTAATCACTAATACAAAGAAATAACTTCCATTGTTGCTAATAACACAATTGAGTTGTGAAATTTTAAACGTTTCTACAACTGCAGGTAGCTCAAAATAGGGGACGCGGGATCTCAGTTTTCTATGTACTCTATCGAATCTCTGAATATTTGCTGTGCAGCTAGATACAACATTGCGTGCAAGCTAATCTACAAAAGACGTGGTAGGTGATAACGAAAGTAAAAATGTACTGTCTTGAATCTCAACACTCGTTTGCTGGCTTTTAACTAATTCAAATTTGCGCAAACAACAGGAGTATACCTGTAATAGCCATTGACTGAGAACAGAAGAATCAGGAATTTCTATTTACTCGTTTCGAAATTTGTAATGAACTGGATTGCTAACTAAGCGTCGTAAAATGTAGGGTAAAGTGAAATAAAACGAACAAGTATTGGAATGTTTCTCCGTATGTGCAAAAATAGGTATCAAAACGTCAAAGAAACTAAATTAAAGAAAATAAAACTTTTTCCTATCACTGTCTCAAGAGTTGTACTTGTTTACTGTCTACAGGAACGTTCATTTGTAGTAGCTTTTCTACCGGTCTCTAATTGTAGACAAGCATTTATTATACGATCACTGCTTCCCACTGCATATTCCAATCACCGAGCAGCAAACGTTTCTAGCACGTTCTTTCAACAACGTTCTTCCTAACACTGAACGTCGTTATTTGCCGTCGAACAGGACACCTTTCAACATAAAACTTGAGAAATTTCTCTAGCATTGTCCATATTTCAAACTCATTTCCAGCTTCTCTTTGTACGTACTTTTTCTTAACTTAAGCATCCACTCTCCTCACACTAAAAATGAATCTTCCAATTTATAGACTGCTCCTGTCGTACAGCCCCACAGTGTCTATTGTCTCGAAGAGTATATAACACAAAACAAGTCACTCCACGGTGGCAAGCCGGAACCTTAATGCAGAAATATTTTAAAATCTACACCCCGCCGCGATTTTCCGAGCACTGCTATTACGCCAGATCATTTTATTTCTGTTCATATCGGTGGCGCCATATCAATTACTGTTCGCAATTATTCATCAAATATAGACGTACGCACTATTGATTAATGTCTCCTTAAGATCTCTACACTTGTGTAAAAATAATTATAGTGGTCAATTTTCAAAAATCGAATTTAGTCTAAATTCGAAATAAAATTCTACAGTGATAAGGCTCATAAATTACATCAAATGATTCCCTGCGTCCTGACGCATTTGGAGAAAATTCCACCTCAATATCTTAAACAGAGAAAATGTTGGGACCATCCTATTGACTAGCCCTGAACATCATACTTTTTCATCTCTGAATGCATAATCAAAAGCGGATCATTTGTATATTATTGTACTGTGAACTTGTTAAGCGAAATTTTCTCTATAATCAACTACATACTTCAAATGAAAAGAGGTGAGAACATTTGCAACTATTACCTTTGTCATTCAAATTTATTATGTCACCCCCTATTGAACATCCTTCGATAAATTCTATTTCTCAGGTTATGAAGTAACATATTTATTTTTGTTTAGAGCAATAATCTTAAAATAATTTTTAAAATCTATAAAATTTTCTCTGATCACATAAAAGAAGAATGCAAGTAATAGTCAATAACTAAGTATATCTTCAAAGTTATCTTTGTAAAGCGGGTTAACAGGAGAACAGAATCGCACCTCCTTTTCCCTTTCTGTAACGTTTTCACAGAAATATTTTGAAAAAACACTATTTTACTATTTTTAAAACGCATTGTTGACATCTTCGGAACAATAAGAAACCGGATTACGAAAGGGGAACGTAGTTCTTTGTAAGAAAATGGTTATGGCTGTGAATAGTGAAGAGAAATTGAGAAATTTATTTAAAAGAAAGACCTCCTTTTCTATTTCTTTGCTCCATATTGTATTATCAGAGGCGTTTATACAATATAATACAACTTTTGTAACTAATGTGTCATTTAAAGATATGTATAATCAAAATTTTTCTTCTACTTTGTACAGTATTTATAATACTGTATTAATAAAAAAACTTCCAAAGTTTTGGACGAACTGTAATATGAAACGTAATTGCACAAAGCATTTATGATACGTAACTGGGCAATAAATTCATGTTTAAAAACTAGAGACGATTTTGAGATTTTTTAAACGCAGAGCGAGTTTGACCCAATCTATCGCCAAAATTAAATGATTTGTTTTAAATTCGCAGCATTACATTTTCTTTGATAACGATAGAACTATATTCGTTTTGAAAATTTAGTGCGTTCGGTTTAGGAACTAGTGTTCGCGGCCAGACGTCAAGGTCGAAGGTGTCGGCGAGACGACCGAACAGACGCACGTTTCTCCTCAATTAAAAGATCCTTTCCTTTTCAGGAGTACGCAAGAAGTGCATTTTCGCCGTCGGTCAATCATGGGTACGCAAACAAGAATTAAAATAATTAAAATATCTACAAACAAGTGAAAATAAGACGTTTGTTGGATTGCTTGAAAATATTATCTGATTTTGAAACAAATTATCCCAAGGTAATATTTGTGAAACTTCAATAGAATACAAGTTACTTCTCTTGTTCGACCGAAAAAAAAAAACTTCCCAACGGCAAGTATGCGTACGTAAATTACCATAACGAAGAAACCTCTATCATAATTACATTTTTCTTTGACAAATAATTATATCAATGGCAATGTTTTATGTACAACCATTTTAAGAATAATTCAATAATCCTGACTGGAACACAACAGAATAGTTTTGTCGTTCGCACCAGCAATAAAATAGCAATGATAAATGTATCATCACTTGCACTTACCGTAAATATAAAGATGAAATAGAAGACTTGATAGATAACCAAACGAATAACGTGACATTCTTCTAAATTTCAGTGCAGCATTTTACTATAGTCACACAAAAATCACTGTAGCATCACGAGAGTTTTAAAAAAACTAATCACACGCGTGTGACACGTCTATTTGAAAAATCTTCAAATTGCTAGCGCATTTATACCGTGAAAGACAGCAAAACATGTGTCAGTATTAACATTGTTCGTTTTTATCATTAAAAATGTTTGTCATTTTCATTTCACAAAACTCTTTCAAATAACGTACGGTTATTGTCTCACTCGACATTTCAGTTCTCAATTAACTTTGGACAAGTCAAATAAATTTATAATCTCGCGCACACACACCATGAACATTTTTCTTCAGACATGTAGCTGAGATGTCTCTTGACTATTAATCATTTTGTTAATTTCACATACGCGACATCGTTTTTCCGCGCTCCACTCCACGCGATTCACTGATTTGTTGTTTTCGGAGTCTGCACCGAGCGCTAGTTCGAAGCATTCTCCCACGAAACTTCCCCCGTTACAGACGCGATTGTTATAGTGCACGTCCTGCCCGCTAGAATTCTCTACTGCGGGCATGCGCACGAGTATTCGAGTTAGCAGTTCTCGAGACTCCCGCACAATGCGCTACCTTGCCGCTCTTTGGTACACAAATTAAGTAAATTGTACGCTTGGAGCGCTCCATTCAGTCAGCTTCGAACGCGCCATTTATAAATTCTAAATCCCAAGGAATCATCCGACTCAAAAGAGAAAAGTTATTATTTTTACGAAATGCTATGCTAGTACCGAACTGAATATCCTTATGCAAATAAACACTGTGAAAGTGATATTTCTTAGATAAAACAAAACAAAAAAATTGTTCGTTAAATATTCTAATAGGATCTTCAAAAAACCTAACATATCACTTAATTTGCTATAACAAATTACTATTTATTAATTCCTTCCCTACAAATTTCAACATTACATGAACAGTTTCTCACAGTAGTTTTATTTAAAATGGGAACTTCTCTTTCTCTTACAAAACACACCAACTAAAATTAGATTCTTGTAAAAATAGAGTAAGATTTTGTACCAATATATTTTAGTTATGATATATTATAGAATTATATGTTTCAAACATTATTAACCAACATTTCATTTTCATTGTTTATATTTTATACACACATGAAACTATTACAATAAAGGAATAGTTTTTTCGTTTTTCATCAGTTTTAATTTCTGAAAGATATACACAAAAATTATCCAAAATCCATAATAAAACAATTTACTTTCATCAAATTTTACATAAAAATTGCAGCATAAATTACACTTTGTCAAGCCACAAAACACAGTTACCTCTGAAACCATTATAAATGTAATTATTTATCTAATAATCTTCATATTCATTTTTCTTCAAGATGCAGATCCTTTGCAACCACATAGGCAGCAACAAACATCATTTCCTTTCTGTGAGCCTTAAAATTTTCAACCGCTTTCAACCTTGCCTCCTCCCATCCATACAAGTCCCTAATAATAATAATACATTTAATTAGTATACATCACAACAGTATCACAACTTATTAAATCAAAATATTTAGTCAATAAAATGCTAACCCACCTGTAAATAGGTCGTACATACTTCATTCGACCTTGTTGAGTAACAAATTTCAGTGCCAATGGAATTTTTTCTGACCATTGCCCCTTAATGCAGAGGCGCAACCACCTGAAGAAATACAACAATGTTGGAAGAGACTTCTTTAATAAATAGATGAACCCATAAGAAAAATTTTCACTTTGTGAATAATTGTATTAAAACTGAAAATTGCTTCATAGTAGAAACCAACTTTAAACAGTCAGCCACTGAATGGTACGCTACAGCATTACAGGATAGGTACTGTCAATGGTTTCTGAACTTGTGCTATGGAGTGGAGGCACCCAAAAGAACTCAATTTCCAAAAATGTAATAGAAAGTTTAAAAGATCTCATTTTGTTGAATATTGTTTATGAAATATAATTCAGTTATTGCCCCTGCCTCTCCCTTTCATTTCCCTACTCCCCCCCCCCCCCCAATTGTGTGGGGGGCCACAAACCCCTGGTTATAAAGGTCTGGACATATTGTTTCTGAGTTATGAACATTTATGATGTGTGTTGCAATAATCTGGATTAATAATTTTATTTTATTTCATGTCATAATCTGCAAGCTCATATTTATTTGTTTTAAATCTGTTTGAAGGGCTGAGATATCTAGCAGCAGCACATTTACAAGGTTTTATGTCAATGGTTTCTTATCAATTTCCCAAAACGTTAGAGTATTATGTAGTATCCTTCAGGAAAATAATTCCAACTTAAAACAGGCAGCAGATTATAACAACAATTATGACATAATTCTTTCTTTGCCTGTTCCTTAGTTCAAAACCTTCAATACATTTCCCCCCTCCTTGTTAAAAACTAACTTTTACCAGAAGGTTACCATTTCTCCTTCTCTTCCTGTTATCTTCCAACACTACGACTATGAATATTAGATGCATATCAAATAATCTTGAAACATCAAAAAGGATTTACATGTTATACACAAAGTGACTTTACCTGAAATGGATCTCACAATTTTTAGCATTATCAAAATCATATGCTTTCTGCATTGCTTCAAGTTTGCTAATTGAAAGAGGATTTTCTAGCAATAACTGCGTCAAAAATTCTTGAATTTGAAGGGCACTCAATGATTTCAAATCATTTATACTGAAATTGCTAGTTCCATCTCTAGACCATTCAACCCATCTGTTTTTCAAAGATGCACAAGCTTTGTCGAGAGAGGTAGAATAACTGAAACGAAGGATAAACCAACCAAATAGAATGTATGACAGGTAGTGAATTGTGAAACCACACAACAAAAATGAAAATATATTTACAATTTAACATATTTTATATTAAATACACTCAATAATAAAGTAGAAAATTCCTAAAAGAACAAAAAAATAGACATTACTCAAATAAAATACATACTCAGGTAAAACTGGAGGCATACCAGGAGAACGCAGCCATTTCTCCCAATCTACTTTCTTTAAAGCTTCATTTTCAGGGAAATATTCATACAAATACTTTTTAAAATCATCAGTGTCAATAGATTTGTATTTATATTTGTCCAAATAATCTTTCAGAAAGGGATCAAATTTTTCTAAAAAATAAAAAGTTCTATTTTAAAACATTTTCATGAAGATAACAATGTTTTCAAGTCTTTGACTGAAAAAAACCAAGTGCAAATGCAATTTGTGCCCTGTCACGTACCTGGTCCTCCTGCTAGCTCTTCTAAATAGTAAAGAAACGTATGCCCTTTTTCATAGGGTACGGTAGAAAAAGAATCATCTGGACTAAGATTCTTTAAATCTACTACCAGCTGAGTTAATGGATTATTATCTCCCAAAGTTTTTATCTACAATAATTAAAAATTTTATTTTTTAAAATTTAGTTTCTGTAACTAGGATATAATTTTTGTTTAGTAGCAATATCTAAATCATTACCGCATCACTCAGATCCTTGAGGCCTCGAAAAGCAGAAAATAACCGTGCTTCCTTTCCATGCATGCTTCCCAAAATTTTTCTTTCCACAAACATGGTAAAACCTTCATTTAACCAAAAATGCTCAAAATTTCTATTTGTAATCAAGTTTCCAGTCCAGCTATGTGCAATTTCATGAGCAATAACATCAGCCAATGATCGATCACCTGCCTAAGAAAAAAGAAATAAATGCAATTTTGACTTCAAAAAAAATTCATAATTTCACATGCAGAATATATTATTTAATTTTGTAACATTTTATAAATCATTAATATATTGATGATAGTATATTAAAATATTGATAATATATTAATATATAGGAGATATGTAATTGGAGATATTTAAACATAACTATTTTAAATTACAATTATAAAATTAATATATTATAAACACACACTTAACTTTTTTACAAAAACCACAAATTATCTTGTAATAGGTTCAAATGTGTTTTGTACGTGTATGATCAACATTATAAACTAAAATAATTTATCTCAAATTTCAGAATCTTATGAACATTAATTATTACCACATATTTACATTACAATATACTCAGTAATTTTCGTAACACTTAATGGCTCTCCAAAACATGACTTACTGAAAGACTCATTCACAGAGTTTATTACAAAAATTCACACACAAAATATCCTTGAAGATCACTATTTGGACAAATCTTTTAATATTCCAAGTTACTTTAATATGCAGAGATACTACATTAAATATTCAGGAATCTCAATCTCAAACTGACAGCAAAAATTTGATAAAATGTAGTAAGATTGTGGCTGAAAAATTAATGCAATAAATAGAATGTTTCTAAAAGTTCTACTCACTAATACTGTTGGCGTAACAAACGTCAAGCATGGATTCTCCATTCCTCCATATGGAAAAGAAGGAGGTAAAACCAAAAGATCATATATTCCCCAAACATATGGACCACATATAGATTCTGCAGTAGATAACATTAGTTCAGTCTAAGGAAAAAAGGATCTGATTAGTATTACACCTGAAACACACTAGATTTAACAACACACAAACAAATCAGAGATACCTCAGAAAATTCCTTAGCTGATTCATCAACATATTCTTTCTCACTCCACACATGTGAGCGTGGCCCAAGCTTACGAGATTCAAGAGCCCCTACAGCAATAGCAATTAAGTAAGTGGGCATTGGCACTTTTTGCTGAAATCGATGAACTTTCCATGCTTCAGGTACATCAGCAGGTTCTCCCTGCCTTATGGCACTCATTAAAACAACTAAATCACTTGGTGCAGTCACCTGAAAATGAAGTAGTATTATATGACCCATTTGCCAAACAAATGTTCAGTTGTGTTTGCCACCAACCATATAAAGCATACAAGATGTATTTGATGTGACAGAAATGACACACTGCCAATACAGATACTGGTAATAATATATCTTTACAGCATCACATATTTGTTACGAAATTCACATATTTGTTCATAAGAGGTTATAATATTTATATTTAATGATTTAGCAAATAGAATGCACTGATGCTATTTATGAAAACTACTTCTGACATAAGGCATTATAAGATGGATATCCTAAATGTGTAAGACACAGTAAAATGGATGTGGGAAAACAGCATTGGGAAATTTGGTGGCAAGTCTTGACAACCAGCTACAGTTAAGGCTATAAACATCAAATTTTAAACCAACAAATGAACAGTTGGGTACCCTGAGCATTAACAAGATATTTCCATACGAGCTAAAACATGAAAAGATGAATGAAGAATGCATAGCTTGACAATACACAGAAAATTTATGATAAAATCCCATTTGATGATTTTAAAACGAATCACGAGAATTGTAATGGAAGAATGGTCTACTTATGGCTTAAAAAAATTGCTCAATTGGCAAGTTTCTCAAAATAATTAACATATGTAACATGTAGTAATGTTGTACACACAAAAAAAAAATAGGGAACACAGAGGATTTCAGATTATAAAATAATAAACAAGATTAACCACATTAAATATGATAAAGTAAAAATAAGAGCAACATTCATAAATGTAAAGATGTTGTTGTCAATGTCATCATTATGTTTGTTTGTTTTTTATTTTGTTTGTTTTTTTATCTAACAAGAACAAAAATTGTATAAATGGAAGGTCTTTGTTTTTGTTTCTTATCTGATTAGAACACAAATTGTAAATAATGAAGAAAGTAGAACTCCTAGGAAAGAGAATATGAGATTCCGAATTTGAATAGTCTCGGAAGCCACATACAATAAGATGGCAGAGGTAGTGGACAGATGATTCACATGAGTACCTCTGGTGCATACACTAATAACTTAAAATGTGTAATCTTCACAAAGAGATGGGAGATGACTCTAATTTACCCTATTTACAAAAGATATATTCTGTAACAGCATAAATATATTAGAAAGTTGGTCCAAGTGTCTACCGAACAAGTATTCTGAACACAAAAGATACTATGTTTTCCCCTTTTACTAGCTCCTGATCCTACGTAAATTCAGTAATTAGAAGAGGTAAATTATTTAAGCTACATCTAGGTACTTTATCATACAGACAATGGGGTACGTTCAGGCCAGCAAGGCTCGCAATGCAGGCAGGTCCAGGTAACAGGGGGACCTATTTTTAGGCTGAAGGTTTTGTGATTGTAAGAAATATTATTAACTGAGACTTTTTCTGATACTTTGCAATAGTTTATCACTCAAAGATTAAAAACATCTTCCCAAAAAAAAAAATTTTTTTTGCCTCGGTAGTTTATGTAACCCTGCTTCTAAATCAATTAAGGTAAGCAATTCATTTATATATTATTAGTCTTAATTTCATAAAATTAAATAATTAAACGGATTTCTCCATTATTGGTTACAAGCATTTTACCAGTGTTAAAAATAAACATGACACACAAATTGTCTTCAGTTTGTGATTGAGTTTTGAATTACTTTCCGGCCAAAACCAAACCTATGTCATTGTTTTGGGATTTTTTCCAAGTTTCTGAGTATCTAAGTAAATCATAGACACCTCTCAAATGTCTGTAAACTGCTATGTTTTCCTTCAATTTCTGCCAGCCTTGACAATTAGTAAAATAGATATGGACTTGCACTGCATTCTGGATTAACTCATTACACTCATTAACACATAACATTAAACACATAAAATACATAACTCAAAAATCAGCAATTGATCTAATGCAAATCAACAGGAAGTTGCATAATAGTTTTCAGACAACTTTTCAATGTATACTTTAAATATTAAAATAAACATTGAAAAAATCCAATTACTTCATCAATAAAAGGCAAATTTCTGATACTCTCAAATATTTTCCTTTGTTTCAGACCTGTTAATTCCCTATTATATTTCCAATAATTCAGATATGATAACCATTTAATGAAGGTATCAATTCTAAGTAGTTTGTTGTTCCTTAGTGTGAACTGTACCAAACTAGTTTTTATAAAATGTGCGCAGTCTCTTTAGCATGTGCAACTACAAACTATATTAGTACCTCTGCAGAGTACGTTGTTTTTGAAGAAGGTGTATCTTGACAAGGGATGATTGAGCGACAGTGGATTGCCTGTTCATGGAACAATTTAAATATCAATATTAGTAATATAAAAAAAAAAATAAAAGTATCTCTCTTACATTCTCCAGAACATTTTCCTTGGCATTTCTGCAGTCTTACCTGACACTGACTAAATAAGTACGGATGTTTCTTTCCAGCTGTTTGTTCAGGATCCAGCCACTGAAGAGCACTAGCCTTTGGAGAAGTTTCATAAGCAATTGTAATATTGTACCTAAAAATCCAAAGTTTGGTAAGCTCAGATATTCTTTTAAAATTAAAACATTATCACAAACCACACTTTTAAAAGATTGAACAAATTTAATTTTTCTAGGATCCAAAGTCAAAATTGAATTTCATAAAACTCTCCACAGCACAGAATATTACCTTTCACTCTCTAAGTTGGGTAATGTAATTTCAATTTTTGATCCAAATTTCGGATCTGGAGCATGGACTTTAAAATCCAAATTGTTACCTGACTCATCATCTTTCACCTCCAATATTTTAAGGTCACTTGAATCTAAAATCTGAAGGGAAAAAATATCTCTTGTTAAAACATACTTCATTACACATGTCTAGAAAAATCACACCATTACTTCTGCAAAGAATTTGGATAATATTCACTCAAAATAGTAGAACTGCTCACCAAATTCCTCACACCACCCTTTTTTCTGTTGGCAGTTAAAGTCACTTTACCAGAGATAATTTTTTTCTGAAAATCTATCTTCCAGATCAAATTAAGATTTGACACCGCAACTTCATCTGCAAAATTTTGGAAATACGCAACATGTATTAATGAGGAAAAGTAAGTTCCAATCGTGACAGTAAATACAACATAACCTCTCGCTGAGTACAATATGTGGTTTTCAAAAACAAATTGAAGTTCCTGATTTAGTGTTCAAACGATAAAAATGGTATTTCGGGGCGGTTAGCTCTCACCTGGATTTGAATATGAATTCGGATCACCAGGACTGAGACCATCACCCATTTTTATACAGCTGCTTCTCGCAGAGCCGGTCTTGACAGATGAGTTGGGTGGCAACTGAGGAAAATTCGACGCGATTTGAGCGGCAAACTTGAAGCCTGAAATGTAAGGAGGAAAGATAACGACCGAATGAACCCGAGAGCAATGGGCTTTCTTATAGATGTTATTGTACCGTTTTATCTTATCAGCGTTAAAAGAGATAAAGAACTACACAAGAATTCTTTAAAATGAAAAAGGTACAAGTATTTCAATGGAAACAAGCTGCCAGCATAAAAAGCAGATAACATACATGTGCAATGCACGGACATGACCACGACATACGAATATGCAAATAACATTCTAATACATGGATTGTGATCACGAGATGAAATTTGCTTAACAAAATTAACAATTAATGAAGTATTGAATAAATAAATAAATCATAAATGACAGAGTTGAATAATAAACTTAGTGTAGGTCTTTGCAATAAGTTAATTACAAACAAAACCAACAGCTACGAATATAACATATTATATATAATATATAATGATTTCATAACAATATAAGACTCGATAATGCCATTTTCATTATTTGGTCGTTGTTAGTATTTCATTTTAGAATTTAATTTTCAGGGTCTCATTTTAGAATTTCATTATCAGTGTTTCATTATTGAACTCTCATTAATTGTGATACGAATTTTTTTTTAAATTTCAGATAAAAGCTTTGGAAGCAATATCTCTAACAAACTGCCAAATCTCGCTAAATCGATTAAAAATTGCCGAAAACCACCAATAGAAAGATATAAGTAATGATAGAATTCATATTATTCAATAGAAATACTTGACTTATTCCAAACCAACTGCGTGTGATATAATTATAAAAATGCGTATTATAAACAGCCTTTTCTGAAGCCCAATACTCATTCGTTTACGCATCACAATGACCTTTTTTTGTACCAAGTGTACCCCTTGCACTACTTGTGCTGCTATGATAGAGAAAACACAATCCTACAGGTCGGTTAAGGCATATCAATCCTGAAAAATTACACTTCTGCCATGGATTTTAATGTTAAAATGTACAAATTAGAAAAACTTTGAAATGAAAGTGGATAAATCACCTTTGAATAAGTTGACCATACGTCCCGTTTTGAACGGAACAAGCCCTTTCTTTACGTCCCTGCCATCCTTTTATGATGTTATTCGGTTTATCAGTCCTGTTTAACCCTTTTAATTGATTTTTAAAATTTTAAGCAGTTGTAACTGTGTGTAACGCGATTTTAAATGACGAAAATTTGCTTCGCAAGATTTCATCATTCCTAAAGTATTCATGGTTAAAAAATAGTGATAAAAACAGATCCCATCTACTTTGAATTCTATTTACATTTTTATAGATTTTGTATGTTAATATAATTAAATTCTATTTTGTACTAAGAATTTTGAATGTAAATTTAACATTGTCCCTTTTTTGAAATCCCCATTTCCCGATTTTTCTCAAGGTCAGCTTAGCTTTGAAGAAAACTAGTATGTAAGCAAAAGCAGAAAAAATAATCATTAGTTGTCAGGGTCGTATATAGAGAGACAATACGGTTTATTGAATCATTGAAAATAGACGATTATGAGAAAAAATACGATATGTGATTATAGAGTGAGGTCTTCTCGAGCACTTTGTCGTGGATACTTGAGTTCCAGATTTAAACGAAAATATACTGATTTCTCTAAAACAGGCTGAGCATCAGTGCCTCATACAGATATACAGATATACAATAATTTCGCATTAATCCTTTTGGTTTCAAAGACATTTATTTATCGGGTATCACTTCTGTGAGACTTAAGATAAAATAATGCTGAAATGATCAGGGTCAAAACCTATCATTTGAGATTTCAAGTTGTAAGTGTTCACTTTCTTCTCGATTAATTTTAAGAATGTTTTTTTAATTCAATTTTATTAGCAAATTTGATATTTTTTAAGAGAAGCAAGAATGTTAGAACTTTACATTAATGAAATGAATGGAGAAATAATTTTGCTTACAACTTGCATATACAGCGTCTACCTTTACGTTCGTAAAAGAGTGCAATATGTTGAATTCTCGATAAACATAAAAAACATATATGTCTTACACTTAAAACTTTTCTTAGAACAAAAGTTTGAATGTTAAAACTTCAAACCCGTTTTAGCAGGAAATTATATATATATATATATATATATATATATATATATATATATATATATATATATATACGAAACGGATGTATGTACGTAAAAGCACGAAATGTTTTTACGTGTATACTCCATTTTACACTGGTAGTCACCATGAAGACTGAAAGGGGTCTTACAGCCTTCATGGTAGTCACAGTTGGGTTGACCTAAATAACTGAGAAATGTCTTTTTATTATTATTATTATTATTATTATTATTATTATTATTATTATTATTATTATTATTATTATTTTTAATCAAGAGTAAGAACAGTGCCACAAAATTTGAAGAATGCACTTTGCAGAAATTTACTGTTCGATGAGTGTTCCAACTGCCCTTTTTCACATCTCGTGACTTAGTTGAATGCTCACTCTGCAAATTGAAAATGTATGATGATTTGTGTGAGAAAAGAAAAATTTGCTTTATTGAAAGTAATTATTTATTTAAGTATTATTCTCAGAGATGTAGCTTTGAAACACCGGGATAATGTACCACAAAAGTGTTCGTTTTTCTTTCCTTAGTACGATTGCAATATTGTGAGATTTATGTAATTGGTATTCTTTAAGCCGATAGATCGATTTTGCCGGCCTGCTAACGATGTCTCCCCTGCCAGGGCCTAGTTACATTCCCGTCCTTGCGAGGGGGGGGGGGTGAGAACGTCATGTGTCGAACATGACGAATTCCCTTATTACTAGCAAGATTCACCAGCCTGAGCTGTTCCTCATAGCACTACTACAGTAACTGCGACGATTATAAACGAAAGCCACATCTCTATTTTTGCCTCGACCGGGAATCGAACCCGGGAAGATAGTACTCTGCCCATGAGCTATTCTAGAGGAATATTGTGCGATATTATGATATTTGGGGGGCACTTTACATAAAGTTACAGCATTCTCAAAATTTTCTCAAAAATAGTCCAAAATTTAAATTTATTTATTCTCAGAGAGAGAAAAGGGATCTTAAAAATATCGCAGGAATTTTTGTTAATCTCCCTGAATCTTCGAAAACTGCAAAAGTTCAAAATTTTTCCTGTTTCTTCCTAGAATTACAATATAGAAGAAAGTCATTATTTTCCTTAAAGAAATCCGTTCTTCAAAGACAATTGTAAATAAAATCATGAACCATTTTTCGAAAATAAGTGTGGTTTTCATGTAATATTGCGTAACATACATGCAATTTTAAAAACAAAATGTTCTCAAAAACGGCTCCATTTTTTTTTTTTTTTTTTTTTTTTTTTTTTTTTTTTTTTTTTTTTTTTTGTCTATTAGAGCAAAGTACGCTTATATATACATGACGCTAGTCCCAGTGATATATATAAATCACGCAGACCCGATTTTGGTAATCTCTATGTATTTTCAAAACTTACAAAAAATTAACATTACAAAACAACAATATTGCTTATAGAGATTATTACTTAATGAAAACTATTAATCAAAATTATATCTTTAAATAAGGTCATATACAACTTGTTGAAAATATGAGTCATCTGCACGTAATTTTCAGTTTCACGGTGAACATGTTTAATGTTTTTCGAACCTGTCTAGAGCCTGCCGGCGGGCAATACAAAGAACATTTTTTTCTAACATTAGTTTCTTAGCGTACGAGAACAAATTATGTTTACAAATATTTTGTAAGTTCGATTAATATTAAAATCTGTGAACTTTTGAAAATTGCAAATCTTCGAACATTGTAAATACAAATTTCACGCGTTTCTTCGGCTGATGAGTCTTTCACGAGATAGCTGAAGTGATAAAGGGGTAAAATTTGCAATATTATATTGCAAATGTTATGTGTCGCTTACAGATTAAATGAGAAAGGATGTACTGTTGATTTTTGTAAAAATAAGCCTATTAGTTTTCTAGTAGCAGTCATGGCAGAGTTCCTAGCAAGTCGTAAAACGAGAATAGCGACATGGCTGCTTGAGAAATCAACTATGAATTTCATTATTAGGTGACATTGTATCTCGGTGAATGGAACGTAGTTTTTGGACTGTGGAATTTCCGTTGATGCATTAGCTTGAAAAGAATTTGTTTTCAAAACACATGCGCTACTTTTTCTAAACCTATTTAAGGTCGCTTTTCAACTCCTAATGTCATATAGCGACCACTCTAAGTAACATGGCGTAACGGTAATGGTACACGGACACACACAAAACTCCATGCCCTCGGCGGGATTCGAACTCGCGACCATTCCAGTACGAGACAACTACGGCTCATGCGCTACAATTCGTAATGAGAATGAGTTCTAAGAGCGAAGGGCGAGATGGCTTAGATGTTCAATGGAGAGAAACTGCGGTATTATAATATCACGTAACCGTTACTAATGCGAGTAAGTACGAATTGTGGCAGCACCACTACTTCCATTGTGCAGTAGATGCGGTGAGCCACCATTAAAATGGCAATTTTCTGTATCTTATTATAAAATATTTCATCGCCATGTGGCTCAGAGCTCTAACGAAAGGGAAATTCTCCACATTAATAATTGGAAAACACGTCGATACCGCCCGGGAGATCCGCCTTCCTTTTTAAAAGCTTCCAGAAAGATTTCCACAATTACCAAGAAGATACATAAATGGACCGGTCAAGACCCGTTAGGCAGTTCCCTAGGGAACCACACCAGGGGGCAGTTTCGACGAGAGCCACGCCGGAGGCCCACGCTACACTACAGCGAGAAGAGGAGCCGACAAACATGACGTTAAAGACGAGCCCTGCCCCGCCGCTGCTGCTGTGGGAGCAATGGATGAATGGAGTGTTGTGGTAAGCAGCCGTCTTCGCCGAAATCTTCCCTCCTCGTCTTCTTATAGTGTTTCTCATCCCTCTCCTTCCACAGCCTCAGCTCTCTGCCTCTCCCTCAGATCTCTAGTCTCTCACAATACAATGTACAATGCAGTAAATAAATATTATTATTCGAACTCGTTGGCATT